CAAGTACATTCGTGTAAAAGTAGATATTCCAATCCTTTCTGTGCTTCCTTGTTCACATTAAACTAACCTACCAAAGCACTACTTATTGTTTTATCGGTGACAGACGCGAAAGAGAATAGCCGTCTAAGTTAGACAAATTGAAAGAATTCGTCCGCATTTGATATATACGATGTGTTCCAATATTTTCGAACCTCCGGTTTCTTCTGTTCTTGCAAGTTCCCCGTCCAATTTGATGGGGCGATCCCACAGTCCGCCTATACCTCGTCTGTTCAAAAGGGGCTTCTTTCAAATGACCGTACTTTCATCTACATTTTTCATTATGAAAGAATCTCGCTTCATCGGTGCTCTACCGCTTTGCCGTAGCTAACATTTATTGGCCGCTTATCTTAACAGCCTCTCTTAATTTAAGTCTAAGCTACACGCCACAGGTGTTCTTTCTAGTTGCTTGATTCGTTTTTGGCTGTTTCAAATTAACCCTACCCTTTACCACTAGTTTGTTCCTAGGTGCTACGCGTCCTGTTTTTGATCGCCCTGTTCCACGTTAACTAATTTTTCCATTTTTATACTCGATCACTACTTTGGAAAACAGGGCGTGTCCAGAACAGCTATTTGACTTGCACCCTTTGATTGATGCACTTTTCGATCTGAGGACTCATTCCTTTGACTGGGAACATAGGTTATTGTTCACTAAGGACGTAATATATCACAATCATAGTTAACAGTTTGGATGGACCTCTAAAACAAAATGAAAGCGTAAATGGGGCCTGATTTTCATAGTGCTGTTGTCAGTGTGTGAAGGATTTTGAATATTGTTTTCAAAGTTCTACACCATTAGTAGCGTAGGCTGGTGTAGTTTTTGCTCTATTCGCCCTTCGTTTTTGTATTTCCACCTAATCATCACAATTTTCTTCCATTTTGCAACGTTCTTGAATATGTTATCCTTTTTTGGACTACACGACTGCATCGCACCATTCAATGATCGGTCAGAATTTTCATGTACAATTGACATATACATTGACTAGTTTTAGTCTTCCCATTACATTGATCCCGAGGAAACAGTGTTTGGCAATATAATGAGTGGCATTTAATAAGCTCTTCTCCTGAACATTGTGCCCGATAAACTCATGCTTCTATAGTTCATTCTCAGTTCAACGATCAGCATCCACAGATCACCCTTGCACACAAAAGATGTCGGCATTATGTTCACCTTACCAGTGGTTTTTCAAGGTTTCTCATTTGCATTTTGTATCATCTAAATAACGGATCCATAAGATTCCGAAGCTGAATTTGACTGATCTCACGCTGTGCCGATTCTCTGTTTAGAATAATCTCTTAATGATTTCCGTCGAAGAAGATTGTTCTGCAATCGGAATAGTGTCCAAATCTTTTATTTGTTTGTTCTTGCGGTGAATGATACTTGAGGCGTTCATGTTATTTTCCCAACAACTTGAATTTCGGAGAAAAGCAGCACAATGTGGCACACTATTTATTCAACCACTAGGGGAATCTGGGGGGGGGGGG